GAGCAGGCGCTAGCCACGCTGGTGGCGATGCGCCGCGCGATGGGCGCCCCCACCCCTCCCCTCACGCGCTACAAGCTGCGGCCCAGGACCTTTGGGGAGCGCGACGCGGCGGCGGCGCACGCAGAGGCGGGGGCTGCCGCGGCAGCCGTCACCGGGACCGCAGGGGCGGAGGGCGTCGCCGCCAGTGCGGTGGGTCGTCCGCGCTCTTTGGGGGTCCCCACCAACGCTTTACGGTGCCCTCATGCGCTGCCCCTTTGCCTTGGCGGCCCACTGCCCAGCAACCCTGGGAGACAGCAGCGCTCCAGCCCCTCATCACCAGCGCCCTGCCGCCGTCCTGTTGTTCGCTGCTTTCCTCCCTCCCGGCCACATCCAAGCCCCTTTGCCCTCTCCGCTCAGGCTGGCTCCGACCACAGCGGCAGCGGTGACATCCTGAGGCTGGGCAGCCTGTCCTATTACGTGGCACAGTCGGCGGACAGCGATGCCGGCACCACCGGGGAACATGGCGGCGGAGGGGGCGGGCCACGGCCGCCGTACCAGCAGCAGCAGGCAATACAGCAGCAGCAGCAACAGCAGCAGCAGCAGCGCGCAGCTTGGCGAAGCTTGCCCACTGGCAGTTTTATGTCGATGGTGGGTGTTGGGTGGCGCTGGATGGGGCCGGCACCTGCTGGAGGTGACGGGCAGCAGCCAGGGTCGAGGGGCGTCAAGACGCCTGCGAGGGCACGACTGTGAGCCATGGGGCCATGGCAACACGCTCACCCCAGCCCCTTTCCCCCTAAACACACACATACTCACACACACACACACATTATATACACGTATACACGCGTGCAGACTCATTGCACACTGACCACAACCATGTTTGTGCCAATCACGCTGGCACCCTGCATACCTGAGGCGCCTTCTGACGAAGCGCACTGTCGCGCTCCGCCTGTCTCTGTGCGCAGCTGGAGCCGATCGAAGACACGGGGGACGAAGCCCCCACCCCAGAGGACGGCGGCAGCACCCCGTCACGTGGTCCTGCTGCTTTGACTCACAGGCACGCCTCGTCCGTGACCACTGCGGCAGTGGTAGGGGCAGACGCCCGGGCCGGCGCGGCGGGGCCGCGCATATTGTCCGCGGCAATGGACGGTGCGGGCGATGTTGAGACGGGCAGCATGCCCCAGCCTCGTGCGGCCGCTGGCCAACGCGGCCTCCCGAGCTAGGCTGAGGCTCCAGGAGAGAGCCTCTGGTGGGGCACACCCGCAGTGCCAGCGCCGGTTCGCGAGGGGCTGGGTCCAGGGTGCCTGGAGTGTGTGTTGTGGCACTGTTGCTGTCCAGTTGCAACCAAGGGAAACGCTTTCTCAAACGCCACGAAAGCAAATATGGGTCGTTTCTGTTTCTTAGACTTCACTTTTAGACTTCACTTTGAGATGCAAGAATCATCCTATATCGATGAATTCGATGTGATTTGTGACCTGGCGCCAAACAGTGTCACGAAACGCCGCAGGGTCCACCATGCACAGGGCTGGAATCACCCCGTCTCTGCCTGGGGCCGCCCCTGGGTTGAGGCCCCCTCCCCTCTCCTCGCACCGCACCGGCAATTGGCTGGCCGTTGTTGTATTGCGGCGGCACCTTGGTGTGTTTGCACCCGAGGGAGCGTCGGGTGGCTCAGGCTGCATTGGCGAAAAGAGCCCGTGGCGCAGCATCGGCGCCCGGCTTCCCAGAGGCTCGCCAATTTCAATGCGTGGGGCAATACCCGTCTGTGACTGGAAATCATGGGGAACAAGCATTTTCACGTTTTCACAACATCAAAACCCCCCCACATCTGTTGAGCCTCACGGCCCACGCCTCCTCGTGCCCTCCTGCCTCATGGGTAAGGGAGGGGACTCCTCTTTGGCCGGGCAGGAGCACGGCTCCAGAGCGCCTGCGCCAACTCTTGACGGTGCCCCAGGCTGCGGTGCATCTCACATGCTGCTGTGGCTCCTTCATGGCCCCTCAAGATGTGGCTATTGATTGAGACTTGCACATTGCATCGCAGGCGCTCAGCGTGCCACCCAGACTACCGTGACCAGGCTTTGACCAATGTCAGAGCACAGTCCGGCCCCCATCCTGTCGGTTTGCATTATCCTGTTTTGTGCGTATGCTGTTTTGCCGCCCCCTGGCATGCCTGATTTGTCGGGCGGCACACAAAGGACACATTTGAATAGCAGCGCGCGCATCCAATGCACAACAAAGAATAAGCATGGGGTAAGCAAGTTCGCCTGTAAGTCTCCTGTCTCCCCAACCCTCTTGCTGTTACAATCTGCACCTAAGCAGCGATGGCGTCGTTGTGTCTTACTTGAGCAGGGACTGCTGCATCCGCTCGGCCCCCTCCCTCTCCAAATGGAGCCTGGCTGCTGGCCTTGATGAGTTGCCGCACGCGCCAACAGCCTGCGCAGCCCGGGACGCTTCGACGCCGCACCCAGCACGGCGGTCCAACATGTCATAAGAGGGCTGGCCTTCCAGAGCTTGGGTACAGGCGGACCGGCGGCCGCAGCCAGGTCCCACGCCTCGGCTTGCAAGGGGGCCGAGGAGCCATTGCACTCGCGGCGATTCAGGCACGGCGCTGTGCGCGAAACAAAGCCTCCTTGCCGGAGGACCCTCGCTGTGCAACCTGCTGGGCGCAGCCGCTGCTGCTGGGCCTAGTCTGGGCCGCCCGCCGGCGGCTGTGGCGGCTGGCTGGTCCCCGGGGTGCCGCTGTCGCCGCTGAAGACACTCTCCAGTGCCGTGGCTGCGCTGTAGAAACTCAGGGTCTGGCTCAACACCTTGGGGGAGGGTGTAAGTGTGGTGGGGTTGGAGGGCCGTCAGTGGAAGGCTGGGCAGGAAGAGGGCTCAGAGGAATGGGGGAACCTTCTTCCAAGCTGACCAAAAGTGCAGTTCCTACAACCCCTATCCCCAGCCCCCCCAAACTCGACAGCGCCTGCCCCCCACACCCCCAAGACCGCACCCTCCCTCCCTACACGCGCACGCGTCCCCCCACCTCCGCCTCCCTCTCCAGCCGCCCCAGGGTGGTGGCCTCCTCCAGGAGGGCCTGCTGGGTGGGGGGCGACTCACCAAACACCGACGCAATCCAGTAGGACAGCTGTGGGGTGGAGGGGTGAGGGGAGGGCTCAGCCCACGGGGGCGGGTGGCGCAGCGTGTGGCCAGGCGCGGGTCCGCGTCAGCGGCGGTCGTCCGCGAGGCACCAGCTGGCGTGACAGGGCGGGCCATGTAATTGACGTGATGGTATTTGCCATACAAAGGAAAGCGTCGATCCTTGATCCCTCACCACCTTTGCCGTCAACTCTTCTTCCACCCACAGACCAGCCCTCTTGCCCCTGTAACGCATGCCCCTGACCACCCCCCCTTCACCTCCTCGCGCCGCATCAATCACAGCCCTTGAGCCCTCCTGCCTCATCCCACCACCTCCACCC